TCAATTAATTACTGCACCACAAATCCGCCAGTGATCAATACAAGAATCATTAGTTTATCATCTATACACATCACTGTAATCGATTTCTATAATTACTTGCCTTATGCAGAAGGAATATCAGTATACAGTACTAGTCCTGAACCTCTATTTAAAGGCATTGATTAATTTCTTAGTTTCTAGACATGCTTTGTTTAACACAGCTAGTGACTGTACTTGCTCGTTTCTGTCTCTTCAGAAATGTTGCTGTTTAGATCTTCTTTTCAAATTACACATGAAGTTTGTGAATGAGAAAGCCCAAAGTCCCTGCTAACAAGTGTCTATAGAAACTGTTTTCATTAAAAGATGTCTACTCTCACTGGGGTATTTTTTCATGTCTGGTTTCCTTCCTCATTTTGTTTCACAATTCTCCAGAGGCATAAAGGTTCATAAAAGATGAAGTTAATAACAGAACACTGCCACAATAGTGTAAATCTAGCATTCAAGCTTTTCTCACTCAGCATGTTGCTACAATTGGGAAAAATGGCACTTGTGTGTTTTACCCCTTCCCACCTTCTCCTCACATCCACCACCACTGCATGTAGCAGTACATACAGTGGCTCTCCCTCTCCTCCACTGGAGGAAGGTCAAAGATGAAATGTGCAGAAAGAAGCGGCACAAGCTCAGGATTTTGCATGCTTGGATTCTCTCATTCCTGTTTTCTCCGACATCTTTCCTAGCCCACTCTCATTTTTTTCATTGTATTCTCTCTGTACATTGGTCCTCCTTGTTTTGTTGCTGTGTCTCCTAATCCCAATGCCTGCCTTCTCCCTGCATCCTGCCATCTGTTTCCCTCCCTGTGAGAGCAGAGTAGGCTCCTGGCTCTGGTACAGGGAGGCTCCCAGAATGCACAGGTGGTGCGCAGGCTTTCCCTCCCTTTGTTTTCCAGAAAAACCACTGGCCAGCTCTCATGGTTGGGAGCAGATGGTCTTTCTGTAAAACCCCCTAGGTGGCTGGCTCCCTTGCAGGCAGAAATAGGTGGCCTGAGACCAGCTGCCCTGGAATTTTCAAAAAGGTGGAAGAGAAAAGAGGTTGGGATTTTTTTGGTGTTCTGGGTTTGTTTGTGTTTTTGGTTTTGATTGTTTGGGGTTTTTTTGAATTAGCACCTTTCTGTTTACATGCTAGTTTGAATCCTGTCCGTTCATTTTAGCTTGTAGGTGCCTGTCTGCCAGGAGTTGTCTCAGACCTAAGCATTTGCATTCTAGGTTGTAGGAGGACACTGTCTTGGTAAGGTCAGCTAATAAGCCTGTGTGGACCCAGCAGACTTTTATCCCAGCCATCTAGGAACAACTTGTGTCATCCCAATGAGCCAGCCCCGAGATTTTTTTATGCAGTTGCACAAGGAACTCTACCACCTTATTGAGTTAGCACAAATCAAGCCTTCTGAAAAACACCACAGGACCATTAACTGCTCAAGAGGCATGACTAAATTAGGGATAAAGATCACTTCTTTTTGTTCAACATGATTTACAGGATAAATATACTGTCCTGAGTGTGGAACCTAGCTGCTGTGCCATGTGATAATCCTAAATGTCCTTCTGATACACTTAGTAATCTTGGGCACTCCACTTAGGCGTGTGGTGTCTCAGCTCTCTTGTGTGTGAGATGAAAGGGGAGAGGGTTAATTAATCCCTTCCTGGCTCATTCTGAGGTTTAATTGGAAACTGTCTTTAAAGCACTTCAGTTTGGTAGAGAGGATTTTTTTTCCCACTCATACCCTGTTTCTTCTAAATATTTCTTGTAAATAATGTTATCCTCCATGGCTTTAAAATGGTACTCAAACCTAACTTGAGTATGAGTGATCTTGGAGTGCCTTAATGCCAACAAACTGTCTCCACCCCATGGGAAACAAGTTATGAATGAAAGCCCAAGGAATTTAACTCTTTTAAAACAATCTTACATGATCTTTTCAAAGATTTGCGTGGCTGGCAGAGTAGACAGGCTAAGTAGACTTTTTTAACCTTAAAAGCTTTTCTAGTGAGCAGTACCATCTCACTTTCATTAAATGTCCATTGCATGTCAGCAAGCAGAAAATAATTTTTTTAAAAAATCTTGGAAAAATTGTGACAGCTAAGTTTTCTGTGAAAGCTGCTAGTGGGGAGAGCAGACTGCCAAATGGTGTGTTTAAAACAGTAGCAAACTCTCATGGTTACCTTGAATCTTTTAATTTCTCACTCCTTTCCAAAAACTCTGGCTTGGCCTTCCCTATCAAAGGGGCTTGCCATGTGTGTCTTGGCTTCTCTTCCTGATGGGAGGGCCCAAGTGGGGACAAGGTCTCAGAGTGGAATTTCCAGGTAAGGCCAGTCCCTAAGTTGACCAACCCCCAGACCAGGGTTGACCTTGCTAAGTTAGTCTTCAGTAATAGCTGAAAGTGTTTTACCTCACATGATCATGAGTATCACTGATGGCCATCTGTTATTTCATGGAGAGAATACTTTGGTGCAGAGACATAGAGTGTAGTTTGAATGGCTTAAGTAGCTTGCATGTCTTTCAGATGGTATAGATGCTCTCGCTGTTGGAAAGTAACTCTGATGTTATCTAAAATGAGTGATTTCAAGCCACTAGGCTCACCCTGAGGATAGCTGTGATGCCATGGTGCTTGGATTGGAATTTATGGTCAACAATGGAGGTGCCATTGGAGCATGCAGGGGTTAGGGCACTTTTTTTATGTGATCCAGAGCAAGCAACCTGGTGGCTACTCCTTCAGTCTCTCGTGGAGAAGATGTTCTGCCCTGCCTAAGTTTGGGAGAATGAGAAACGCACTTGTGACACTTGCCCTCCATAATTTAGCAACTTGCTTTTGCGTCATGCTCTGCGTTTAATCCCTGGTCTGTATCTTCTCTGAAGCTGGTGCAGAGTGAAACCAATGCCAAAAGTGACAAATACTCATTTTCATGTAAAAATGTCTTCTGACCAAACTATCTCTTTGGGTTAGTAGTGCCCTCAAATGACCTGTTCATGAAATAACAGATTTTTTTTGTTGTTGTTGAGAGGTTTTTTTGTCACACTGCCTAATTTAAAGTTGTGTTATTTGAAATCATACAGAACTATTGGACTTACAGACTGAAATGTTACTATGGAGGGCAAGTGACACGAGTGTGTTTCTCATTTTCCCAAACTTAGGCAGGGCAGAACATATATATAGAATTGTAATTTTCAGAAAAGAGGAAGCCATGTATGTTGCTAGATAAAGGGAAAAGAGTAAGAATGATTGTCCATATTTCAAAAACAGTTTTCAAATAGTCTCCAGGGAAATTAACAATATTGTACTTCCAGGGTGAAGTGTGAGCTAGCATGTTTTAAATATGTCTCTGCAGAAGTGAAGTATTTCTGCTTGCAGAATCTTACTGGTGAAAACTGTGTGACTTAGGTGTTGATTCGTACAGTATACCAGTAATTTTTGTAGGGCATTCATGAAACATTTCAAATATCAACATTCCAAAATGTCATTGAAAAATTATTGAACAATTAAGGAACATTTATGGAACATTGTGTGCTCTAAAATCAGGAAATGGGAAAACATGTTATTTCCGAAGTTGCCTGCATGTGGCTGTGCTAGCTTGCGAGGTTCTGAGGATGGAAGTAACCTCTGTGGAAGTTGAGGACAGTGTGCTTTTGTGCACTGGCGGGGCTGTGGCAGCTTAACTCATGAGTCAGTTTAGCTCCAGTTCCCCAGCCTTGGGTCCTGTACATGTCTCTAACTTTCTGCCAATGTAGTGTTACAAGGGCATGGGTTTAGTGGAGGAACACAGTTGCACTCCAAAATTACTGTCTATTTAGTGATAGAAGCAATTGAACATGCAAGTAAAGCAGGGTATAAAATGAAAGCATTTATCCCACAGTGGTACATTCTGTATGAGGAAGCATGCAGATGTATAGGGATGAGAAAAAAACTGTGTGTCTTATTTCTCTCTCCATCTTCTCCCCCAGTGTGGATGAGGACAGGCTTTTCCTGAACCTAACTCCATGATGATTTTTTATTTCCTCATTGAAGCTCCTTGCTTCCATCTTCCTTTATCTAACTTTGATAAACATAATTCTCTTTACCACCCAACAATCCCCACATTAATTTTGTTGAAACAAGTTGGTTCAAAGCTACACCAGTTCCCCTTGCATGGCTTTCTCTTTCCTAACCTTTGGAGGCAGCCCGCAGGGCTCTTGGTCACAGCAGGATTCCCTGCAGTAACAACCTGCATGTGTCTCCTCCCTGCATGGCTCCCTGAGCATATGGTTAGCTGCATATTCTCCACTCTGCATCACTCATTTTTCATCCCATTTAGTACATGGGGTTTCTGCTTCAAAGTGTGGACATGCTTTGATGCAGAACAGAGGCAGAATTTATTTGCTAAAACATCTTTCAAAGAGAATTTATGCGCACAGAATGGCATTCAGCTTTGGGAAGTCTGAATGGCAACTATTTTACAGACAGAGAATTTAGGACAAGTTCTTTCTTTGAAAGTAACCATCGTTTGCTTCTGCCCAGGGTGTTTTTGTTTTGTTTTGGCATGTTGTTTTTTTGGAGTGGGGGGAAGTGGTGGTGGGTTGGTAAGCTTTTTTGCACCCTTGTTAATCACAAAACAGGGCACTGGACATATGTGTTGAACTATTTAAAAGGTGGTTTGTTGAGGGTTATTTTGGTTTTGTTTGTGGGTTTTGGTATTTTTTTTTTTTTTTTTTATTTTGTTCCTCCCCCGCCCTGCATTGATCAGAAAAGCCTCAGAAATTGTAGGTGAGGATACTAAATGAAGGGGGAAAAAGTCCTGCTGGATTTAGGATTTTAAGCCAATCCATAAGAATTGTATTCTTACATGGAAAGCATGGTAATGTTATAATGAGCACATACTTACTTTATTGTTCAGGCACTTGTTCAAAGGTCTTACTTCTCTTTTTTGGATGGGTATTTTGGAGTATTTTGCAAGTACTGAACTTGTTGTACATACACACTGATTCCCTTTTTTCCTCTCTAGGTAAAAGCATGGATGAAATTAAGAAGCTGCTGTTGTTGATTCTGGGATGTGCTGTGCAGGTGAACTTTCATTAAAGGCTTGAAAAATAAGTTTTTATTTTTTTTTAACCTCTTATTTTTTCTGGACTGAGAAAATCTACCCAAAGATCAGTGCTGTATGAACAAGTCTCTAGCTCAAGACAGCTTGTGAGCTGAAATTGTGAGAAGAAACAATAGGTGAATGAAAGAAATTCAGGAAAAGGAAGCACCCTTTGTGGTAGCAATAGCCTTAATTTGTTGCCAGTGCTTTATCAGCCACAGGATATGTACTCTTGCAACTAAGTAGTCCACTTTGATAACAAAGTGGGAAGAGATAAGCTTTGAACAGTGGTCTTGATATCAAGATTGTGATTGGTTTATTTTCTTACTGTTTTAAAATATGGATGGGACAGCAGTGCCAAACAAATAGATGAGCTAACAGTCTAAACATTTGTTTAATGAATGCTGATTTTATTTGCATAATCTTTTGATTGAATATTATGTGTAGAAAATCGAAAATGAATAGATACTTTGTATATTCATACAGGGATTTTTATGCGGCATTTGTTAAAGTAAAGAGACAAGCAATGTATATGGGAAACTCCACAGAAATGCATGACAATTACCAGATAAAGAAGTCAGTGTTCTGCCCACCAGACCTCTGTGGTGGTAAACAATGGATGGTTGCCGGCTCGCCTTTGCTTATAACTGTTCTTGTTTGTAGGTCTGTCTAGTGTTTTTTGTCATGCCTTAGGACACTTAACCCTGCTCAGCTGTGTCAAATCGATTATGTCAGGGTAAAGCTGTCTAAATATGACTGCTCTGAACTATCTCCCTGTTGCATTGCAGCACAAACAATAAAGGTCTGATTTAGCAAGCTGCTGTGCACCCTCAGTCCCTGTTGATGGGAATGAGTTCTTCCCAGTGGAAGGAATGGTTGAGACTCAGAACCAGGCCCCAAAAGTGCACTGCAAATGAGTTTTAAAAAACTTTAAGTAATGCTTGAGTTCTCCACAATGTAGAGTTGTTACAAGAAGGGAATAATGTTGTTAGTGTACAATCACAGGTGTACAGATAGCAGAAGTCTGCCTTAAGTAAAAGTTTTACTAAAATCTGCTAATCTGAAATGTCAGTCATTTTTATCCAGAATGTTTCTCAGCCCCATTTCTTATCTAAAGCACATGTTGATTTAGTCCAACAAGCAACATTACGCATTGATTAGAATAGTATCGGAAGTGATGCATCTCTTTTCATTGCCAAAACCAAGCAAAATGAAAACAGCAAAGCAGACAGGTTAAACGATGCAACATAAATGTAGGTTTATGCTTGTGCAGCTCCATTAATGAAGCTGTGATGATTTCTTCTCACTGTTGCCCCGCCTCTTGATCTCACTGCGTGTTGAACTTGTTTTTAAAGAGCAAACCCAGCCATTTAACTTAGCTGTAATTGTGCTGATGGTAGAAAGTTTAACTGATTTAATGCATAATTCGGTTCATGCTCCATATGGAGCAATGAAGTGTTATACCTTCTGGTGTGACGAAGTATAGATCTTAAAAATTTTGTCTTTAGCAATGTGGGGAGCTTTTGAATTATTTATTTTTTTTTTTATTTGAATAAAAAATGGTATAATAAGTTTTAGGATACATTACACTGTTTCAGGGTGTGTTGTTTTCTTTTAACAGTGTGAAAGAAAAGAAGAGTTTATTGAAAGAATAAAACAACTGGATATTGAAACCCAAGCTGCCATTGTGTCACACATTCAGGAGGTGGGACTCTCAGTATTGTCTGTTCTGACTTTTTATCTCTCCCTTCCTTGATGTAACTTTTTTACCTTGCTATGAAATATTAATGCTTGGAATTTCATAATGGATTCATGAACTTAATGAAAAAAAGATTGAATTGTAAGATGAAAATTAAAGGCAATGGGAACGTTACTTGGCTTAGTGGTCTTTCTGAGAGATGCAGTGGTAAACGCCTTGCTTGCCAGTTATAGGATATGTAATTGTTTTAAGGATACATGTGTAATATTTCCAAAAAACATATATGACTTAGGAGCTGCAGTGCCCCTTGAGCAATGTTGTAAGCACTTAGTCTCCAAGTCCTGTAGTAGGTGAGATGCAGGCTTCTCATAGGCTTGCTTTGGATAGTGGCTTCCAAGCTCAGATGGTCTTGAGAGGTGTACTCAGCAGTTGAAATTGGACATATACTCTGTTTTTAAAGAGAAGTTTGATCCAACGGCAAGTATTCTTGGGCTTGTGATGTTTGTGTAGAGGAAAGGAGTACAGGTAGGTGTTAGGAACCACTTACTTTGGAGACCCAAAGGAGAGCTATGCGGGAACAGGCCCTGCTGGGTGCGTCTCACTGGGAACAGGCACAGGCTGTGGCTGCGTGTCAGTGTGTATAGATGTAGAAAGCTCAGTATGCTCCGGTTTGAGGAACAAAAGGTGAAAGTCTAAGATAGGAACTGTTTTCTCAATACTTAACAAAGTATTTCTGCTTTAAAAAAATAAAATCATAATGACCTAAGCATATGGTTATGACAGAAACAGAAACAGTCTTTAATGGAGCTTGAGAGACTTGCCTGACATTTCTGCTAAACCATTTAGAGAAAATCAGTTTGGGTAAGACAGCAGTTGAAAGGTACCCTGCAAGCAGTAACCAGAGACATTTTTGCTAAATGCAGCTCCTTCCAGCTGTATCAGCTGTAAGTTGCAAATTCATTGAAAGCAGGGCTTCAGTGTTCAAAGGGCTTCTCAGTGAGACACCAGCCTAACTGTACAGTGAGGGATCAGTCCTTCCAAATCCTTGTGGTGACCACCTCAGTGCTTGCAGCAAGACATTCGCGTACTTGTAATGTGCAAGCACACATGCTGTTGATCATAATATGTATCTGATCACTTTTAAAAATCAGCCTTAATTATTAAAAAATCTAAATACCAAAAATGGGTGAGTAGTGTTACAATTAAGGTGGTTGGTTTTGTTATTTGCAACATGATTTTGGTGAAATGTGGTATGTTTTTTTAATTGATCAGTAGAAGAACCTGGGGGATGCAGCATATACAACAAACCAATTTACAAATCAGCCAGTGCAAAGACTTTGTTTCTGTTCCTAGGTGACTCACAACCAGGAGAACGTCTTTGACTTGCAGTGGCTGGAGCTCCCAGATATGGCCCCAGAAGAACTAGAGTCTCTCTCTAGGAATATGGTTTTCCACCTTAAGAGGCTCATTGATGAGAGAGATGAATGCACAGAAGTATGATGACTTCTCTCCCATATTGAGCTCGTGTGAAGCAGCAGATGCAGGCTCCATTCCTTCTCTTGTCTTGTTTGTGCATTGCATTTCTATTTCTTCTGCACCTTTCTACTACACCTCTGAAAATCTGTAGAAAGATTTTTCATTGTTTCATTGCTCAGTCATTCATTTTTGAGTGACTACATACCTGTCTCTCCATTGGTATCTACTACCCTCATGGGTTCCAGTGTTGTCTTTAGTTTTTTTTTTTTCTATGTGAAGATGGTCCTATCTGTTGCTGACTCATCAGTTCCTTTCCCTTCAGATCTCTGGAGGGACTTTCTTGCTGCCTTTAACCTGTTAATTTTCTGTCATGCTTTTGACTGTGATTGTGGTAGTTAAAACTGGTAGTTGCTATCGGTTTTTATGAATTCTCCAAGCAGCTGCTTATTTTGAGCATTGGAAGGGGAAATTTTTTTAAGCGGTCTGAACATAGTGGAGATCTTTTCCTCCTCTTTGTAACCTTTCCTCCTGGCTATCACTTGAATGCTGTATACTGCCAGGCTAATAATTTTCTACATTTATAAATTATTTTTAGATATTTTAAAAACTATTTATAATTACAGTATTTATCTCCTGACACTGTATGCTTCTCTGTATTTCTAGGTCATTGTAGATCTCACTCAAGAGAGAGATTATCTGCAGTCTCAGCAACCACCAAGTCCATTGAAAGTACCAAGCCCAGATTCTTCACCAAACCCAGCCAACCCTCTTTCTAATGAAGACAAGCAGCACCTTGCAGTGGAGCTGGCAGACATGAAGGCTAAACTGAGAAGAATACGGCAGGAGCTGTGAGTCACCAGTGATTTGTGCTTCTAGAGACACTTGTATATTAAGTCTTGAGCATCTTGAAAACGCAGGTGCCTGTCCACTTCAGTATACTGGCTTCCATGGGAGCTCTCAGAATCACAACTTCCAAATTTTTATTCATAGCAGTAGGAAGCTAGTGTGGCTGTTCCATCTTTCTTCTTTCCTAATTGTTCTTTAAGCACAGAGTGATAACTACTTTGATTTTTCTTTTTGTGTCTTATCTCTCTCTTCCCCTCTTCAAAATGCCAACTACTGGCTGCACTTTTTAATTATCAGTGGGAAGTCCAGAAGCCATTGAAGCTGGCTATGGCAGCAGTAGCACCAATGAGGTTTAAACAGAGGTACTTACTAAAAATTAGTTGTAAACTCAGATCTATGATACGTAGATCATGAGAAAAATCCCTTGCTTTTATGAAGTTGTCATGACAAAGAGACTCTTATGTTCAGAATACAGGGGATTTCTACCTTCCTTTCCGGATTCCCAGCAGTGTCCAGATAATCAATATTGTTTCATGAAGGGGGGAATTTCTTACTAAGATTTTTCTAATCCTTTTCAGGGAAGAGAAGTCTGAGCAGCTTGTAGATTCGAAACATGAAGTTGAGCAGCTCACACTAGAGCTGCAGAAAATAAAACAAGAGGTAAGATGGGCTAATTTTACTGTGACAGTTTTCCCTGTTTGAAAACAGGCTTTTCCTGGGTGAGGCTAAAAATATTACTATGCCTGTTTTTTAATGAAGAAAGTAAGTTACTTCAGCAAGCTGTTTGATGATTATGGCTATGGCTTAGCAATGCTACACTTTCCACTTACCTATTGAGAGCAGCCTCATCTGTTAAGCTTGCAAATAGCTTAGTAATGCCTGAGGCTTATGCAGCATTAGGCATTAGAAATGTCACAGTCCCAACAGCCTGAAAAACCTCTGTGTCTTGTAGAGGATTTTTACTAGTTAGTAGAATTCTCTTACTCCTGAACCAGGGGAATGCTGTTTGCCTATGCTTAAAATAATAAATAAATAAATATAAGCTTTAAAGAACATGCTTTAAAGTATTAACTAAGATTTTTCTCCCTACTTATTCCCCACTCCTCACAGAATATCCACCTGGCCTCAGATGCTCGCTCTGCCCGAGCATATAGAGATGAACTTGACTCTCTGAGAGAAAGGGCAAACCGTGTGGAGAGACTTGAGATGGAACTTGTTCGGTGCAAAGAGAAACTTCATGATGTGGATTTTTACAAAGCTCGCATGGAGGCAAGTGAAAATGGGGGGAAAGATTTGCTGAGTAATCCTTAATGTTTGGCTTTGGCTGTGTTACCAGTCCATGTGTCATTTGTCATTGAGCTGACTGTAGCAAAACATCACAGCAAGTAGAAATTTCCTAACATGCACTATAGTTGTTGACTTAGCAACATTGCAGCTTCTTTCAGTGGCAAGAAAGAGTTGGTGCACACAAAAAATAAATACCCATTAGTTTTAATAAACGCTGTGTGCTTCAGCATTATGTGGCTAAACAGGACAGACCTTTCTGGGTGCTGCTTCTAGAGAATCCAGACCTTTAGTCTAGCCTTGAAAATTTGCTCTTAGGTAAAATCTCTGTGTTCCAGAGTTGCTCCTTTGACCAACATTTTAAATTTAATATATAAACTAGCTAAATGAATGTGTTGGTATTTTTCCTTAGGGATTTGTAGCAGATGCAACTGTTGTTGGGTGTTAAGCATGACCTAGATGACAAATTCTAGACACCCCTTTCTTGAAACTGTTGCTTGTAGTATAAAGGAAAGAAAATCTGGATCCTCCCTAGTGCCCTGAGTAGGGTATATCAGTGAGCAATGTATAGCTTTGATCCAGTAGTAATGCCAGTTACTCAGCTTAGTCACTTGCAGCTATGCCCATCCTGGAATTAATAATTAGCTTAGATTGGAAAGGACCTTGCAGATCATCTAGACCAACTCACTGCTCACAGCATGGCTGACCTTAAATTTAGGCCAGATTGCTGTTATTTATCCATCTTTTCAGTTCTTTGAGCCATTCTCACCTAAATTCTCAATAATTCACATACACTTCAGCCAAAGTCAAATAAATGTCCAGACTAGGTGAACACATGGGGATTCACTAGTTGACAGTCTCACTATAATTAAATAAAATCTGAGGTCTGAGGTACAAGACTGATGTTGTAACTCTCATTTGCCAGGCCTCTGGCCCAGAACACAGACCTTTTTTCTGCTCTATAAACTCTTTTAAGTGATTTCCCCCCCTGCCCAACCTAAGGGGCCAGCTAGCTGCTGCTTCTTCCGAATAGATTCACTAAAATGCATGGTTATTAAATGTAGTGATAGACTACAAAAGCCTGTCTTCCCTCTCAGTAATTCCTGGTTTACATTAGGAAGTATGAAGCTCTGTTTTCCTCCCTCAAGCTGACAAATCAGTCGTGCGTTAACCTGGCACACTAGCTATCACCGTGGCATCCTGGCATTTACCTTTGTATTGGGCACTGGAGTCACTTAGCTTCTACCTCTGCTCAGATAATTTAGCCAGAGCTAGGAGAGGAGTTCTTTGTCTTGCCTTCATCTGAGATCAAGGGAGTAGCTATTTCTGGTTTTGAGTTCTCGGCCTCCTTGCTTGTCCTGAAGCTGGCAGTTTCCTGCTGTGCTGTCTGCATGCTTATCTTGCTTAACATACTACTCAGTAAACAAACCTCCACTTCAAGTTTCAAATTTGTTCCAACTTTCCTCACTCCCTCTTCAACCCTGTCAGTTTTTGGTGAAAGTATTGAGCATCAGAGATAAGTGCTGGCTCACCAAGGATACCTCCCTGAAATACAGTAGTGGGACAAAGAATATTTCCCCTCGATATGGCATTACTCCAACTGTGAGCCACAATGTGGCCTGTAGCAAACATTGTTGGTGCTGTAGGGGCTGAGCTCTTGAATTGCACAGCTGTTTGCAGGCTGCTCTGTGGTCTAGAATAGCCAGAGAGTTTCACATTCTCACCACTCCCTCTTCCATCATTGATTGAATCTTGACTCAGCCACGGACCACCAGTGTTGAGCAGTGGCAGCATCAGGCAAGCTCCACTGGCTTCATGCCGATGCATTCAGAGGACTCCACAGGGTGCTATTCTATATTTTTTTATGATCATGGAGTAGCACAAAGGCTGTGCGCAGTAGCCAGTATCCGACTTTCTGTGGTCCCTCAGTTTTCTGTCTTACCTGTCTCAAGTCCTCCGCCCATCCAGAAGAAGGCTTAGTGGCTGGAGTCAGTTCCATATCTGCTCAGATTCCTCCCACTATTTGGCTTACAATTCCAAGTTGTAAGATTTGTGCAGGAATTTAACATGGTAGAAATATTTACTACTAGACAGTACAGTGCTGATTCATCTCATGGCATTTACTGCTTGCAGCTGGCTTCCTATGCTGTAAGTCTTGAAACCTGAACAAATCTTGTGGAGGCACAGCAATGAAAATGTAGGTGCATAAAGTACAGCCTAAGCTACTTTTCTATGGTAATGTGATACCTTAGGGCTCATAGTGTCTTGACGGGGTTGATAATAAGAGGTGCCAAATCGGTAAGTAAGAAGAAAAAAGTGGGTTTACCTTCATACATCAATGCAGAAAGCTATTAAATGAGCACTTAAAAATCTTTTCCTTCTTGTAGTTCACATACGCATTTGGTAGTTTGAGCAAAAAATACGGAATGTGCTCCATGTACAAAACCATGACAAACTTTAGGAATTGTGAGCAAGCTTACAGGTAGTTTCTGAAAGCACATGGTACAAATCAGCAGTGTGGTGGGAAGAGGTTCAAGGAGCCATCGCAGAAGGAGTGCAAAAGGAGCAATTCTCTATGTGAACACAACACATTTAGGCATGTGTATTGTTTCCTTTTCTGTATGTCTTGACAAAGTTGTTCAGAAATGACATTTTAGTTTGACCATCATTCAAGGAACCTAAAGATGAATATGCTCTGGAGTCCTTCATGCTGGGGTAGCTTAATGAGGTCATAAGTGTGAATGTGGAGGAGCAGGCTTAATGCAGAGCTTCCTCCAAGGAGGTGCTTCTCTCCAATGTGACGCTTTCCTCCAGCATTCCTCTCCATTTAATGTTGTGGTGCTCCAGGAAATCAGGTTATTTTCTGAGGCCAGAGAGTCTGCCTTGCCCATTCTTCCTCCTTCTCACCGCAATCACATTTCCATGCGGGATGACAGGAGGAATTTATATGAATGTTAAAAAAAGCAAAAGCAGCTCTTGTATGTTTTCATATAGCTGTCCAAGGCAGTGTTTGACTGTCACAAAATGTTAACTGTGTTACGACTCAGCAGGGACAGCTTCTGAACTGCCAGAAGGGAGAGGTTTGAACTCTGTTTAATAACTAGTTTGAATGTGTGTGCAAATTTTCTAGTTTCAGATTTAAACAATCTGATTACTACTTTAGTTTCTTAAAATGTTTTCCAGTAGCAACACACCCTGATTGTGCAACCACTTACCCCCAGAGTTAATTGTAACCATATGAGTACACAATACACATTCTTAAAGCTATTTCAAGGCACAGTGATACAGGATCAAACCACAATTCGTAATTTATTTTAGAAATTACAAAAAGCAGAACTATATATGTTGTATATGTTGGATATTAAACCATTACTGTTCAAGTGATATAAAGCAAAAGGGGTTTTTTTTAATCCCTTGCCTAGTAAATTCAGTGTATTTAAAAAAACCCCAACAAATAAACCCAAAGCCAACTAATTTGCTGTCAGTTTAGAAATAAGCTCATAGTTAGAAAATAATGTTGGTGTGTTTGTTAATTAAAGAAAAAATAAATCTTAGTTTCAGTGGAAGCACCACCCCATGTCCACCACCTGCTGATCATCTAACAAGTGTGATTTGTAGCCGGATGCATTTCTAGGTCAACTATGTTATTCCAGTGACTTCTGGGAGATGTTAATGCTGACATGTTTTAGTTAGGACAGCTTTACCTTCCAGTCCTTGAGAAGTAACTCTGCAAATGTCTTATGGAGTAATTATTTAAATTATATGAACTTTTCTATATTAAGATGACCTCAAATCATAGGCACACCAGTGAGCAATGTTGACCTTCCCATAGCAGGCATTTCCACCAGGTTATTAATTTAAGATTTCATCAGAACTGCTTTGAACTGACATGTCTGCTTCTCCTGTGTGCTCAGTGGAAAGTGCTTCAGTCTTCCACATATTGCAGCTCCCAGTGATGTATGGTTTGTACCAGAGCCTGGATATGTGTATTTACTTGGCACATAGCTTGACTCTTCATGAGACACTAAAATAACAAGTTCCTGCTTGGTAGGCAGTTTTGAGGATAATTCTGAGGCCATGTATTTGAGGTCAGACACCACCTTACTTCTTAGGGCTGTGGTCCAGATTGAGTGTGATGATCTAGCAAAATAAACTCTTGTCATGCTGCTGTTTCATTACAGGTATTCCGGCAGCTTACATGACACCCAGCATATTTTTGTCATGTACTTCCTCTGGTCTGTTATAAGTTTAGTGTCAGCTTTTTTAGTTTGCCTGCTCTCAAGTGACCCTCTTAGATCAGACTTGGTCAAAAATGGTGGTTCTGTAAAATTATTGTTTCAGTATTATAATTGTTTCAGTTACTTACATACTCAGACATTTTAACTGTGGTAGTTGAACCACTTTACAAACACTAACATATAGCTGTCCTTTTAATGGTAATGTAGTAGGGAAATATTTCCTCTCATATTTTGCAAGCTAGTAGCTGGCCCACTGAGAAGTCAAGGGCAGTATGGTACTGTGTGAGGTAGACTTTCCGTATTATGCCACCTACAGTCAAGATGCAGCAAGGAACTAAGATTACTGGCTATATAAGGCTATTAAATCATGGCCCCCTGTAGTATCCAAAGGCAGGGGGAGTGGCTGTCGTCAGATACTCTTTAACTTGTGCTTTACAGCTATCTTTTTTCCTTTTTAATAACTGAACCATAGGAGGCATCTTAAGGCTGATTCTACTCCCAAAAATGAGAAGGTAGTTGCTGCTTAAGCACTGAAAGGGATTTGTTCATGCCTGGTGATCTTTCAGGAATCCATTTGGTTTAGATGTTTGTGGTCTGAGAGAGCAGACATGAACTCTGATGTCAGCAGAGACTTCACATTTTGAAGACAGTTGTCCAGAAATAACTCATCAAGCCATAATCATTTCGTCCTGCTTGCGTGCATATATTCTATTTTTGCCTATTTCATTGGAGCAGGGGAAAGGATGGGGAGAGGAGAGAGTAAAGCAAAGACAGAGAAAAGGAGATTTCTTTAGAGAAACAAATAAGCTGCTTTTTGCCCCATTATAACTTTTCTGGGCAAAAATCCTTCCTGTATCCATTTAATTTTTTTAAATGCTGCCATGTTCCTGTCATATAAAATTCTGTCTCTGACTCAAGACTTATCTGAGGAGTAAAAGCTAGCAGTGAGGTATTGTAACTTGAAATAAGACATAATTTAATAAATTAATTATTAAAAAGTAATAAATAAATAATTTAATACATGACCGAGAGTACCTGGCCAGATTTTATGCTTTGGACTTTTCATGTTTTCGGAGATAAGATTCTTCAATGCATGGAGTTTCATTTGTTGCTTTGAAGGGAACATTCGGAGTGCAGCATAACTAACTTGTTTCTACTGCTGTGTCTACAGCAGAATAATAGATTAAATTTTTACTCAGTAAAAACAGATCCAGAAGCTGTAATGGATAAGCAACATGGTATGTACAGTTAATGCTCATGTGTTTACTGGGGTTAGGGCAGGGTGTGTGTTAAGTGGTAAGTATAAAACAACTTCATTTGTTTAAGTGAATTAAAATTCTGTTCATGAAATAAAGAAACTTTATTAAACAGACATTTACATATAAATGGACTGAAACAGGGATATGGACACAGTTGATTTTCTGTATCTTGAGTCTCTGCAGCTCTTGATCTAGCCTCATATAAAGCAAAACCAACTCCATTAAACATCTAAAATTTGGAGGGGTATAAAAAAGATTAGATTTACCTTGCATTAATGATTCACAGAAAATTAAGCATAGTTTTTTTAGACCAGGTAAAAACTTCTTTATGAAACAGAGAAACATGTCAAGATTTTCTTGTGTGTTGCAGTGTCAGTTTGTGAAAGTCACCTCCTCTTTGAGAAGTCAGTTTATGCCAAGAGATTAACACCGTTACATTCCTCCCTAGGAATTAAGAGAGGACAACATCATATTAATTGAAACAAAGGCCATGCTAGAAGAACAGCTAACAATGGCAAGAGCTCGTGGTGATAAACTGCATGAATTAGAGAAGGAAAATTTGCAACTGAAATCCAAACTTCATGATGTAGAGCTGGTATGTCCTCTCTTTTTCATTATGCTAATGTTTTGAACTTCTGGTTTTATGCTAGGTCGTAGATTCATGTTGCAGAAACCAGTGGAAACAGGTGAAGAAATCCAGTGCTTTTAAAGAGGTCTTTAGATTGAACTTTGTGTCCATGAATTCTTGAAACATTCTAATGTTAACAGTATAAATATTGCCAATGCTGCTTCGTGTAAGACTGAATTTAATTTTATACAAAAAGGTATATCACAATTTAAAAGTAAAGATTGCTTTCATGCATATTGATAATGGAGGTGTTTATCAGTTAAGTTGAAATTTCTTAAATATAAGAAATGAAATCTGCTGTAATAAATGATCTTTCATGTTGGAAACAAAAGCCCCAGCCATTACAGTTACTTTTAAGAATCCATTACTGCTGTAAAAGACACAAAATTTGCAAAGTTATTTCTGTGTAAATCAGACATGGCTTCATAGAAAAGGAAACGCAAGATTGTCTACAAACAAAAGCAACACTGGATTTTATAATCCCACTAGGAATAACAAGCATTTTCATCTTTTGTATTTTACTTAACAGTTCTCTTATCCCACTGTGTTTTGAATTCTTGTGGATTTAGAGTATAGGGTTTCCAACAGGGCCTGTTGGAAACAATGATCTTGAGGGTGCTGGTTGAAGTTATGTTTAATGACTAATTCACAGCATTATAAGGGTCATGTCATGCTCCAGCTTTTCCAAAATGGCTGGTGAATTTGAATTACACTTTTCTGGGTGACCGGATGAATTTTTGGGTAACTCCTTTTGAAAATTTGGGACCCTCTGAGGTACCATTTCAGCTCCCACATATGCAAATGGCCAAAGTAGTCATGAGAAGCAATTATAGATTCATTCTCCAGATCTGTTTTCTGGATGTTTTAAGACCCAAATTATGAGGCAAATGTTACTTGCTGATCTGTAAGACTGAATCCAAATTTAATGTGATGAGTTGAAGAAGCTGAGTAGAATTCAAGGTTATATCTGCAGAGTCTTCAGTGTCAGTGCATGAAGCTATGTGTTTTTGAAGAGCTTAGCTCTGGAGACAGCTTGAATCCAGCCTGCCTTACTAGCCCTGACTTGTACTGGCCCTGTCATTGCCCAGTATGTTCCCACTCCAGTCAGCCTTCCTCCAAGTGCTTCACGGACCAGAACTGACCCTACAGGGCCAGTTGGGTGTCTCTGCGCTGTACTCTGTGGCATGTATGGTAGGCAACAGCAAACATTTAATGCTGTACATGTAATTCAGCATAAAAGCACACAGTGTTTAAGGAGATTCTTCTACCCTCTACATGTGCTGTGGTTGTAGCAGTTCAACTGACAGAACAATCTGACGGATAAGCTGAAAATGCTTTTTCATTCATGCGTGTCTTGCACAGGACCGGGACACAGACAAGAAGAGAATTGAAGAGCTTTTGGAGGAGAACATGGTCTTGGAGATTGCACAGAAACAGAGCATGAATGAATCTGCACACTTAGGCTGGGAACTAGAACAACTGTCTAAAAGCACAGATCTTGCAGATAGTAAGTACCAGCTGGGGTAGCTGTTGTTGTGTTTGTGGTCTCTTTCAGAGTAGACACCTTGATTGATTGAGATGGGAACAGAATTTGAGTCAAAGCCTGAGAACTTCCCTCATTCAGCCACTTGATTTTGAACTTAGTTTTTTGGAACTTCTAAAACTCATTACTTTTCATTTCTGTCACTTTCTTTTGAAAGCATTAAAATCTTTTCTTCTTATGTTGTTTGTCACTGAGATAGTGACTTTTAAATAAAATGATAAAAATTTACAAAAAGCTTTGTAAATGACCCAGCAGAAATGTCACATTCAGTATTTCTAACTGAATGGCTGGGAGGAGTCTGTGATCTTTAGTATTCTTTAGTACAGTTAGTACAGACAATTAGCTAGTCTTTAAGTCCCAGGAAGTGGTGTATGCTGAAGTCATTTATTTTTACTAGATGCTGAAAAATGTGTACAGTTAAAATAACTGACTGATTTTTTTTTTTTGAAAGGTTGATTTGATTTCCGTGACTATCAAAAACATAACTAATGCTTCCTTCATTACTCAGGTTTTAGCATTGGTTTCAGTGTCTAACATTCATTCTGTCTATAATACCAGTCTAAATAACAATGCAAAATGGAATTTGGGAAATATGAGCTATTTTGTTCAGTTCCATGTGCAGCTTTTATTGATTTCTCACCTGATTCTGACTTGCATGTTTGGCTTTGTGCACCAGGAGTAATTTAACTTGAAGACAAAGGAGTAAATTAGAATAAGCAGATGCTCAGTTTTCAGTAAAGCTGTCTAGAAGAATAGCTTTGTTCTGTGAAATAACTGAATGTGTGCCTGACACCAAATCTGCTTGCTGTCTAGGATCTGAGTGCTGTTTATTAACAGTAATGGCTGGCTAATTAATTGTTATTTTTCATTAATAATCTTGCAAAGCAGATTAGCCTTAGCCTGAGAAGGAATGGCACTCTTTCTCCTTATGTATAATCAAAGATATTGCTTATTATATTAGTCAGTTGTGGGAAAAAACACAGTTCTCTCAAAACTTACAAATTTTGATAAAGAGTATTTCAGGAAATTGTAAAACTGTCGAATTTTCTGGCTTGTTTCAAATAGCAAGTTTTGCCCTCTTCGTCATTTGACTTCACTAGTGGTGTAATAGGAAGAAGGATGCTAGTTTTATTTTGTTATTTCCTATTTATTAATTTCTGTCAAACATAACTTCCCAAATTTGCTAAACAGTGTGGTATAAAAAAAAAAAGGAAGAAAAAGAGAGATTCCATCACTGCTTAGCATTTCAGCACTGGAGCTTCAGAATCTCTCTGATTAACCAAAGAAAAGAGAGTAAGAGGAACTGAGAAATAAGTAACCATTTATATTCAGTAGCAAAAAAAAAAAAAAAGTGAAGGAAGCCTGATTTAAAAGCACTAAAAACATTAAACTTTGAAACGTTAAACTAGCTCACAGAAGTGCTGTCCTACTTTCACAATAATTCTCTATAAGAAATTCCATTTCAATGCATGTTGCTGTTTGTACAAATGCAGTCAGTCTGCAAAGCTCTTTTGGAAAACCTCCTGTTCCTGTATTTCAAGTTGAGTCTGCAAGGGTGGCAGATAGCAGAAGATTTTACCTGCTAGTTTGCAGTATTTTATTTAAAACCATTAAAAAGAGGCATGGAAAAAGTCATTTGGATGGGCTTTGCTTCAGGACAGAACTCAAATAGATTATTTAGTGAATGTTTACTGTTCCAGTCTTCCAGACCAAAGCTTTCCAGGTGATGCTCCATAAAAGATACAAATAGGATTTTACCATTCTCAGAAACCTGCCCGTTCTAAAGTACTCAGCGTGCTGTATGTAATAGTGCTGATTATTTAGCAGGAGTGAATAATATTCTGAGACTTAAAGACAATGCTAAAGTCAATTTCATGTGAAATGTGGTTTTGAGGTGAAGGGTAGCAATTATTCCAAGTGAAACCGAGGGTTGCTCTTATTTCATCTGCTGAGCAGAGAAATTAACAGAACAATGACACTTTGATGCTGGGATTTAAGGCTGAGAGGTAGTGGGAATTTTGATCTACAAACATTTAGAGTAAAATAACACCTCTGTTGTAAAACTTGCATAAATATTATTAGTTCCGAGATTTCAACTTCAGACACTTCTCTGGAATCAACATTCTGATAAATGTCCTGTGCCTGGTTTGCCAGATAGTAAAATATCCTCCCTGACTCAGCATATTCTTGATGAAGTAGCTGTGAAGATAAGCATTGGAACTCACTCACTTCCGTCAGATTTTTTGTTTTCATGACTAAATGCGATCAAGTACCTTAAGTTATCACTAGCTTTTGGAAGTGCACCATCTTGCTGTTTTAGCAAACACGTCACAGTGGTTTACTTTCTGCCTCAATTTATTTCCTCCGATGGAAGTACGAGAAGGTATTGAAGTATATTTTGCTACTAACATTAAACACGTTACTAACATGGTTAAAGCAACTTTAAGTTAGAAAAGTAACTTAAGATGGTTATCTCTTCAAATACTTCCTTATTCATTAAAGGTCCTAATTGTTATCTGTCAAAATGGGTTCTGTGTTTAACAAAGTGTTTAGTTTGCAGGTAAGCCAAAATTATAAGGATATGACTGCAAGTATCTTCATACAAGTGAATCTTAAGAACCTAGGAAGGGAGATGTTTCTGAGTTCACCTTCTGATTCTCATGTTTCAACAGCCAGAAAGTCCTTTGTGTTTGAGTTGAATGAATGTGCTTCAAGTCGCATACTAAAGCTAGAGAAGGATAATCAAAGCTTGCAGAACACCATCCAAGAGCTGAGAGATGCCTCCTTGACCTCCAGAGAGAGCAGCCTAAAGTTTGTGGAACTGGAAAAGGAAAATCAACAGCTTAGCAAAAAGGTAATTTGCTTGCAGGAACTGAGCTCTTAATTAGCAGAGTGCCACTTTCTCTGCTGAGGAGAACTGATATCTATCACTGGATCATTCCATCTTCTGGAGAAAGTCTTTTGCCAAGTTGAGAGACCAGTTCTGCTTCTTGGCTTTCTTCTGTGAACAGGGAAAACTGCAAATATTCAGTTCGCTGTACTTTCCATACTCCCATTTATGACCTGTTGTTTATGAGTAATTCAATCCAGCTCTAATTTACATGCTTAAAATTTGAGATCAAGGCATATAAAGCACTCAGCAGATACCTGTGGTGTACAGTAATTTAAGGCACTTGAATAACTGTGGTCAACCTTTGGCTTTGCCCCAGGCAGATTGCTGTGGGTACCTCGTGTTATGGCACTATATTGGTGCTAACAGTTGTGATTCCAGAATTAGTCTGATGTTTTTGATGATGTTGAATGCACTGACAGGGTGGGGTCACCTACAGGTCTGGTAGTTAAATAAAGCAAAAACCAGGAGTGGGGAATACCGGAATGGTGAAAGGGGGGCACTGTATGTGTCAGATCAATGAAGGGGAAAAAAAACGGCAGGTAAAAATACTACCATTAAGAGCAATGGAAATACATGGACTCTTCACCAGAGAACACAGAATATGATGGGAGCTGTTGACTGAATACCACAGGCTGGTCAAGCTGTTGATGGACTTCACCTCCTGTTCAGGGAAGTTTTGGGAGTGTCGTGGTTCAAGCCCAGCCGGCA